CAAATATATCTTTTCTCTACTTTAATTTTAATTCTTATAACACTGCATTGCCCAAGTATGGTTGTGAGTTTGATCCCCATCATGGCAAAGACTTTGAAAATGGTATACACTACTATCTCTGCTTAGCAAGTCATCATATGGGAAAGAGTATGGTACGTGGTAGTTAAACACACACACTACTACTAGCAGACTAGGCCCCTGCTGTAGTGATTACACAACTGTGTGTCCCAAGGTCTACAGAAATGAAAATGGGAATTGCCCCTTGCATCATATGTAGGTGCAGGAAGGAACTTTAACTTGACATTGAATTCCCTTATTCTATTCCTATTTGATAGCAAAAGGGCTAGGCAATTTCACTTGACCTCTGCACATCTATTTTCCCTCACTTGCTCGCGTGCGCACTTCCATCAAGACCAGGTAAAATATTCATTATGAAGGGAGCTACGACAGAAATTACTTGTCCCTGGATGTCTCCAATCACCTCCCTAATTGGGAGAGTCTTCTACTGATTAGTAATGATGATGTCGCTTCGCCTCTGATTACACTAAAGCCATCAGGTGCACGATGGCTTCAGATTGACTCTTAATAAATCCTGCCTGTCCTTACATAACAGATGTTATACTGTATATAAATGGTTGATTGGAAAGCATAATTTCCATTTCCGTTATATTAATGACCATACCTGAAAACACATTAATGACATACAATAATGGCATTTGAAACAAGTGGTTGCAAAGCTGGACTCTGTGTATTAACTTTTAATAAATCCTGGCTGTCCTTATAGAACAGATGTTATATACAAATGGTTGATTGGAAAGCATAATTTCCACTTCCGTTATGCTAATGGTCTGAGAACCTGAAAAACCATTAATGATGAATATAAATGGCATTTGGAACAAGTGGTTGCAAAGCTGGTCTGTGTGACTTTTAATAAATCGTGGCTGTCCCTACATTTTGTACATAACAGAATCTGATGTTATAATGGTTGATGGGGAAGAATGATTTCCACTTCCGTTATGTTAATGGTCTGAGAACCTGAAAAACCATTAATGACATACAATAATGGCATTTGAAACAAGTGGTTGCATTTTAGCTTGTCTGTGTGACTTTTAATAAATTGTGGCTGTCCTTACATTATTTTGTACATAACAGATGTTATAATGGTTGATTTGAAAGAATAATTTCCATTTTCGTTATATCAATGGCCATACCTGAAAAACCATTAATGACATACAATAATGGCATTTGAAACAAGTGGTTGCAAAGCTGGTCTGTGTGACTTTTATTAAATCCTGGCTGTCCTTACATTTTGTACATAACAGATGTTATAATGGTTGATGGGGAAGAATGATTTCCACTTCCATTATGTTAATGGTCTGAGAACCTGAAAAACCATTAATGACTATATATATTAGATGGCATTTGGAACAAGTGGTTGCAAAGCTTGTCTGTGTGACAGAATTTGTGAACCTTTCGTGCTTCATGTTCCTCACTGAGAATTATTCGAAGAAAAACCCTTTCCCACAACTATATGCTGCCCCAAAGCTTCACCTGTTTCGCACTGATGTATCCTGGTGAGCATGAGCTACATTCGTGTTTAATACAGAGAGTTGTACGCATGTGTACGGAGGTGTTTGAGGAACTCTGGGGGAATCACGGTGCCCAAGGCACGGACAAACAGACTGTACAACTCGTTCCTCCACTGCACAATTAGACTGTACAATAGCCAAATGCAGACCTAGTGTTCTAGTGTTTCATGTCCCACTTTTGAATGTGCGTCCCTTGTACTTATGTAAAGTCCACACAATTCAGGAGTACTACGTACCCCTGCTATGTTGACTGTTCTTAATAAAATTGAAATTGAAATTGAAATGTAACCTTTCATACTTCATCTTGCTCACTGAGAATTATTCGAAGCGAAACCCTTTCCCACAACTAAGCGCTGCTGCAGAATCATGGGCATCCCTACGAACTCCTTACCTACCTTGGCGTCCAGGCGTGACCAGGCAACACTACGTGTCTTCCGGAGTATCCTAGATGATAAGGATAACCCACTGAACTGTTTTATATCCTGTCCATTGCATAGTGGCTATGACCTCCGACGAGTTAGACATGTCATGACTTCACATAGCCGTACTAAGAGACATGAACAGTCATTCTTCCCCAGAGCCATTAAGCTGTACAACATGAGCTAAGCGATGAGAACTGATATACATTGTACTTGCTGTTTATATTTGTTCGCTTTTTAGCTGTTTTTATATATGTACAACAATGTCCGTTTTTAATATAATAATGTACCGTTTTAAACGTGTTCCTGAGAGCCCAGTGTTTTTACTGCATTTTGATGTAACTGTCAACGTATTTCATGGCACAAATTTATTTGTACAGGCAAGTTGACTGCAATAAAACTGAAACTGAAACTGATTTGCTGCCCTCAAGCTTGTCTGCAAAGCTTCGTGTTTAGTACAAAGAGTTGTACGCATGTAACCTTTCGTACTTCATGCAGCTCACTGAGAGTTATCTGAAGCGAAACCCTTTCCCACAACTATATGCTGAATGAGCTCAGGGCTAGCTCTAGCCAGCTCAAAATTTCTTTCCGTCAGCCCAGGTTCATGACTGGACCTGGAGGGAGACTGCTCACAATCTAGGGGGGTCTAGGGGCAAATTTTTAAGCCATTAAAAAAACACTATTTCCCACATTTTGAGAGGCAAATCATGGTGTTGAGAGTGGTTGGTGGTGGTACTCTGGATGTTTTTATAATTTTACCCAAGACTTTGTCTATTGTGTCCATCAAGTTTGATGTTTGATGTTTTATTAGAAATCCATTTGATTAGATTAAACATCTAACGTATTCTTCCTGGATTCATAAAATACAGACAAATTCACAATACGTGTTTACAAATTGAGATCATGGTAACATAACACATTCATGAAACTTAATATAACATAACATAACATTAACTAATACTTAGCAACAAGCAACAACTAAGGATCCTTTTGTGGGGTCGTGTGGCGTAACGGCAGAGTGCGCGACTCGGAACCTAGAGGTCCCGGGTTCGAGTCCTGACATGCCACCGATCTTGTGCCCTTGGGAAAGGCAATGAACACGACTTTATTTCCTCACTTCGCTCAGGTGAAAATGAGTATTGTCCTGTCATGTACTGTATTTGTCCCGTGTTGGTGACGGCATAATATATATAAGTTGAAAAAACTTGAGTGTGCATGTTGGAATAAAAAAAATTGGAACAAAAATGTTGGAATAAAAAAATTTAAAAAGGATCGTTTTTGCAGGTCTGAGGTCAGATTACAATGTCATGGATTGGTTTAAAAATTTTTCCGTCACCTACAATTGACAGAAAAACGGCTGCTGGCTCTGCCGCCTGAACGAGCTGCATTCTGCACATGCGGTTAGTCCCCGGGGATTCTGTTACGGACCTGACCGGGAGTGGGGTTAGTCAGGATCATCATGGGCAGACATAAACATCCAAACTTACTGTCATCTCCGCCTACCAGAGCTGACAGGCAAAAAATTAAAGGTGTCGACCGGCTTATCTCAGTGCACTCAAAGGGATGGCTCAGAATACAAAATACCAACTTACAGCCTTAGGCCTATCTAACTAGTTTAGGCCACACCAATTAATTTGTAGCTTCTCAGATTCGCCCTGTCCATTTTTTTCAAGAAAAAAAAAAGTTTAGGTTCTGAATCAACTGCAAAATGCTCATTGAAAGACATATTTAGTCCCCAACGGTTGAAGAAAGTCCTTTTCTTCCTAGTTGTTACAGTTTTTCAGTGTAACAATGCAACTTTGTTTCATTAAAAGTTCAAAATCTATTGTTTTCATTATAAACCAGTCTGGTATGATTACCTCATGGCTCATATTGTAACATTTTCGTCCTTCATATGGTGCCTTGGCTTGTTCTTTTTTTATTTAATTAATATTTATTTTGCCCTGTCGCTTCATATTTTTACTGAAAAAATCTGAGAAACAACCAATTAAATTGGTGTGGCCTTTTGGACATGTTGTTCAAATAATTATTATTGTTTGTTGGCACTTGAAGAATTTTGTTACGATACACCACCAACATGATTTTATGATATATTGACCTTACTGAATATATACATGTATAGCTTATAAGCCATCCTCTCTTTACTGAAATTCATTTATGCTTTTGTATGAAGGAACTATGTTTAGTATGTTTTAAGCTTTGAAGTTTTGCATCACATTTACAAATGTATGCTGACTTTATGAGTCCTTATTTATAAATACAGAGCTGTAGCTGTGACAGCTGTCTTTAAGTTTAACAAGCTTACAGTACGTGCCAACATACACCACAGAAGAACAATAACAGTAAAAGTAAGTTATGAAAGAAAAACTGGGACCACAACTCTGGGCCGTACATGTACAATAACCATAATAGTCATGTATCCCTGCATTCAAACAGTTCACCAAAGTTAATATCATTTAATAAATAATAGCATTTAAAAACATATCTTTCAGTAAGGGTGATGGTAACTAAAGTGGATGTGAAAGAAACCTAGCATGGAAATCTGACAACGTTAGCTACGACAAACGGGGGTTTAGCCCGTCTGAGTTCCAATTGTTCTAAGCCTTGCTGGGTGTAACAGTGGCCTGTATGACTGCAATGCAAACATTACAGTATATGGTTTTACTAATTAGGCAAATTTAACAGCTTATTTTAAATGCCATGAAACTGTAGGTGGTTTAGTGTAGGTGGTTTATTTTCAAAACACAGTGAACTATCTATTGATCTCTCATAGCTTTGAAGTGAATCCCTTGTTTCACAACGTCCAATATCTTGCATACAGTACTACTAACAAACATAATACATTTATCTATCATCTGTAAAGACTCGCCACTACTGACAAACATTGAATTATCATTTGTAAGGACACTCTGAACTTTTGACACGAACCTCACCACTACTGACAAACGTTACATTATCATCTGTAAGGACACACTGAACTTTTGACACGCACCTCGTCCCACGTATGGAAGACGGCACCGTCCAGCAGGGCCTGCGGGATCTTGGGACGCCAGCTGAACACGTACTGCTTCTGAAGCCGCTGCATCGTTCTTCCTCGTTCGCTGCAGACAGACTACAGATCAGCCAGGGCTTCCTTCCCCTTTTTTTTTCTTATAGGTGTTGAGTTGACCACCACCTCAGTGTGCTTTAGATTGCACGGCGCGGATTCACACCCCGGTCAGCAAGCATCCCTGAATGGAGAAACGTCCATTCCCTGTTTGCTCAGCACATAACGCCGCTCAGAGACGCATGCCTCTCCCCCATTATTGCCACAGTACAGCCCTCCTGATGTATATGCGTCAGTGTGGTGAAAGCCCCTCGCTCGATCGACACCGCCCCTCCACTAGATGTAAATACTGCACTGCACGTCTTGGCTTTAAGCTGTAGCAAAGGCAGTACTGCTGGGTTCTGGATAGATGAGCTAGCTGCTGCTCAGTGCCTGTCGAGAGAGGGAAGTCAATATTTGTATGTCAGTACACTGGCACAGGAAGGAACCTTGAAAAGGACACATAATGTTTCGGCTGCCAGCATTAAGTAGTATTAAACATGAAATCACAGAGGAGGTTAAAGACCTGATAACATATCAAGATCTGTGGTTGATTATTCACTTGTAGAAGTTGTAGTTATACAACAGAGCTGTTAGTATTTGGATGTCAGTACACTATAGTAACTGTACTGTCATAGGAAGGAACTGTCCTCCTTCAAAAGGACACATAATGTTTCAGCTGCCAGTATCAAACATGAAATCACAGGAGGTTAAAGACCTGATAACATAACAGTTACTGTAAATTAAAAAGGTTGATTATCACTGTACAACACAGCTGTTAATATTTGGATGTCAGTGACACTCAGGGACAGGAAGGAACTGTCCTCCTTGAAAATGACACATACTAATAATGTTTCAGCTACCAGTATCAAACATGAAATCACAGATTAGGTTAAAGACTTGCTAACATAACTGTAAAGAGGTTGATTATCACTTGTACAACACAGCTGTTAATATTTGGATGTCAGTGCACTGGGACAGGAAGAAACCTGGCAAGCAGGGCACACACACACCTACTATTCATGTAGTCTCAGCTCCTACTAGGCATATACCCTCCGCACAGTAACCAGGCACACCAAACAACCAACTCCCTTCAACACACACACACACCTCGCCGCAAATAACCGGTGCCTGCCTGTAAATTACTGTAATTGCGCCCGCGACACCCGATTTTAAGACAATCTCGGAAACCGGATTCCACGCTTTAGAGTGGGTTTAATCAATGGCATTGCACTGAACAGTCGCAGCAAGGGTGTTATAAATCCGCCGAAATTGTCCCCCGAAAAGGACACGTAATGTTTCGGCTGCCAGTATTATTAAACATGAAATCACAGAGGGGGTTAAACACCTGATAACATGACTGTAAAAAGGTGGTTGATTATCACTTGTACAGTACAGCTGTTAACATTTAGATGTCAGTACACTACTGTACTGGGACAGGAAGGAACTGTCCTCCTTGAAAAGGACACGTAATGTTTCGGCTGCCAGTATTATTAAACATGAAATCACAGAGGGGGTTAAACACCTGATAACATGACTGCAAAGAGCTTGATTATCACTTTACAAGTGCACTACACGCCTGTTTTGTTTGCTGGCCATTTATGATATGCACTCTGCCTTTTGATTACTGATAAAACAAAACCAAACTCATGAAATGTGACTTCACTCTTTACTTAAATCTCGTATGATGTTTGACTTGATATTTGTAATTTGATGGTATCTGATTAAACAGCTCTAATTCCAATAATACAAAAGAAATTCAATTTCCAGCCAAACTGCATATACTATAATTACAGATAATGTATGACTATGACACCATCTTCTGCCATTCTGCTTAAAACTTACATTTGTAAATTTTGCATGCTAGTATAGTTTATCATTTAACTATCTCTTATATTTCATTTGAATTTTAATATTCATTTCTTGGTATATGATTAAACAGTTGATCGAACCACTGCATATAATATGTATTTTATAGATAACAACCTCATCTTCTGCCATTCTGATGTTATATTTTGCATGCTGAAATAGTTTACTTTTTACTTCTATATGATATTTTACTTGATATTCATTTGTGAGTATCGAACTCCACTGATAAAAAGTATTCACTGTATGTTTCAAGCTACAGCATATAGATATATAACATATGACACCATCTTCTGCCATTTTGGTGTTATATTTTGCATGCTGAGATAGTTTACTTTTATGATATTTGACTTGATATTCATTTCTTGGTGTATGATTAAACAGTTTTAATCAAGAAGCTTTCATCACATCATAGAATTGTCCTTGTTTTAATTCAATGCAAAAGAATCCATTTTTCCAGGTAATACATATACAGGACCTGGTATAGATAACATATGACACCATCTTCTGCCATTTTGGTGTTATATTTTGCATGCTGAGATAGTTTCCTTGATACATCTGTAACCCCACAAGGAGTTCTTGAGTTATTTTTTACCTAATTCTCTTATGATATTTCTCTATGATTAAACAGTGCTCCAGCTACTGTATACATACATATATAATTAGATAATAACACCAGCTTTTGCAATTCTGGTGTAAGTTATATTTTGCATGCTGAGATAGTTTCCCCAATACATAATCTTTAACCCCACCCCACATGGAGTCCTTGAGTTATTCTTTACCGAAATCTCATATTCACTTCTTGGTATATGATTATTATTAATAAACAGTTGCTCCAGCCACTGCATATATACTAGTAGATAAAATATATGACACCATCTTCTGCCATTCTGGAGTTATATTTTGCATGCTGAGGCAGTTTCCCCGATACATCTGTAACCAGACAAGGAGTTCTTGAGTTATTTTTTACCTAATTCTCTTATGATATTTCTCTATGATTAAACAGTGCTCCAGCTACTGTATACATACTGTATACATATAGTAAAACATACTGTATGTTTCAAGCTACAGCATATAGATAACACCATCTTCTGCCATTCTGGAGTTATATTTTGCATGCTGAGGCAGTTTCCCCGATACATCTGTAACCCCACATGGAGTCCCTGATGTGGGTCAGCAGGCAACATCGCGCACCAGCCATCATCCGCCCCGGGGGTGTCTTATCCCCGTGATCTGCATGTCAATCTCCCGCCCGCTCCCGGGTCAGCAAGCCTGAACATTTCACTGGTAATTCTTCTGACCTGCTACCACTAAAATCAGGTCTCGAAATTCATTTTTGGGAATAGGTGCACTGGTGCACCCGACCTAAAAAAAATTGGGTGCACAAACATTTTTTGGGGGCGCACCATATAAAATAAAATAAGTAGAATGTCAGCATCATCATCATCATCATCTGGCAGCTCCATTAGAGCAGACGACTGTGAGTTCCCTCCAGTTAGTCCTGTTCTGGGCGATGTCAGCAAAAAAACTATATTAATTATGTTTCATTTCTAAAGAATGATTCTATTATTTTTCTGAAACCTACAAAAATATTTGGGTGCACTGGTACACCCACAGAAAAAAATTTGGTGCACAGTGAGCGCTCCAAACACATGCACCCAGTATTTTGAGCCCTGGAAACCCTCCTCCAGGTCTAGTATCTGCTTAAGTTAAGTTGGTAGAATGTCCAAAATATACAAGAAATGTGAGTCACTAATGAGGAATGCTCATGAAAATGCTTGCTTGCCACCAGGTAAAACATTTCGCTGGTAATTTTTCTGACCTGCTACCCAAAAAAATCATCCTCTAGGTACATGTATATGCTAAAGCATGGCTCAAAATACTAGGTATATGCACCTTAGAGTTGGGGCTGTGCAGGTATTTCTGATGTCTACTACCTAATACTAGCAAGAACCTGCACTGGCCTGCAATAACCTTCATTGAATGTTACCACCTACTAGTATCTAGTATCAAGTATAAAAGAAATAACGGCAATGGTTTCTGAACACTTTTAGTATGATCCATACTTCTCAAAGTCTGAGAAGTGCAAATAGATTTGTCTGATGCAGGCAATGTTACATGTGTACCTGTACCTGAATGCAGCTATGCAGAAAAAAATATCTCAATCTCCCGCCGGCTACCGGTTCAGCAAGGCTGAACGTTTCACAGACCTGCTACCAGAAAAATTCTCCTCTAGGACTTGTGTATACATGTATAATATGCTAAAGCAGGGCTGGAAATACAGGAGCTGTGCAGGTATTTCTAGATCTGATGTCTTCCTGCAGCTTGAACGTTTTACAGGCAATTCTTCTGACCTGCTAAGGCCTAGAAACAAAAATTGTGTTTCCTGTTTCCCAATCTTGTTTTCTTTTTTTCCTGACCGACCCTAGAAAAAACTGCCGACCCCAGCATTTTTTTGTGGGTCCCTGCACGGGACATATATTCTTCAAGCTGATCAACCTTTTCTACCCCATGATCTAACATCAGTTTTCCAACATTGACATTGAAAATTGAAGTGTCCTCATGCAAATTTCACTTTCAAATTGCTGAACTGCATTGTAAAGGTTGGATCACTAGAGATTGCCAAAGTCTAAAAAAAAAAAGAAGTTAAGGTGGTAGAATGTTTAAGGTAGACAAGAAATGTGCCACCACTATGTGGGAATTGTCATAAAAAATGCTTGCTTGCCATCAAATTTTTTTTTCGTCAGCCCAGGTTCATGATCGGACCTGGGGGGGTTATCAAGCTTTTAAAAATGCAATTCCTCACATTTTGGGAGGAAAATCGAGATTTTTGTCAATTTTGTCCATCAAGGTTGACGGATTGGTTTGAAAATTTTTCCATAACACGTCACCAAGTTCCGGGAATTGACTGCTCTTGGCCAGTAAGGCCACACCAATTTAATTTCTTGGTTAACGGATTTTTCCAGAAAAATAATGGAGCGGGCGGGCGAAAAAAAAATAAAAATAAAAACAGGCCTAGGCATCCTATTATGGCCCAAAATGGTACGATAGGAGCCATGAAGTCAACACACCAGGCTGGTTCAAAATTTAAACAATGAATTTTGAACTTTTAATGATACCATTGCATTGAAAGATGAAATAACTGTAACAACTAGGATGAAACGAACTGTTTTCAACTGTTCAGGGCAAAATATGAGCATTTTGCAGTTGATTCTGAATTTTTATTTTTATTTGCAAATCAGAAAAAAATGAAGCGGGCGAATCCGTTAACCAAGAAATTAAATTGGTGTGGCCTAAGAGCAACATTTGCAAGGATGCTACAAGGGCATTGCTTGGCTTTCAAGGACCAATCATGTCGCATCTGCTATCTTGTGCAATTGATGTTTCACTATATATTGTCATTTCCTAAATCTTTGTCAGCAAAGCCAGGCCAACAGAAGATGTCATTTCCTACTTCCTGCAATGTAGCCTTCTATGCGACCTCTTAATCAAAATCAAAAGGTGCAGTAACAGCCATGTTTAGGCCACACCAATTTAATTTTTTGGTTTACGGATTTTTATAGAAAAATAATGGAGCGGGCGGGCGAAAAAAAAATGAAAATAAAAACAGGTCTAGGCATCCTATTATAGGCTTAAATGCTATGAAATGAGCCATGAAGTCAACACAAAAGGCTGGGTTAAATTTAAACATTGAATTTTGAACTTTTAATCAAACCACTGCAATGATAGATGGGAAAACTGTAACAACTAGGAAGAAAAGGCCTTTCCTCAACTGTTCGGGGCAAAACATAAGCATTTTTCAGTTGATTCAGGAAAAGAATCAATTTTTTTTGCAAATCAGAAAAAAACGAAGAGGCGAATCCGAGAACCAACAAATTAAATTGGTGTGGCCTTAGCTTGAGTTTTGAAATAGCCAGACAAGAATAGTGTCCTGGCATGAGCTTGCGTGAAATTGTTCATGAATCATAAAACATTATCAAACTGCAAACTTTAGGGTAGACTGCTGAAACCTTTCTGTTTATTGTGAATTTGTTATTTTAAGAAGGCTGAGGTTTGAAATTTAAGACTTGTCAATTTGTGTGGACAAACACCTGTTAAATCAGACTTCAAGTTTGTGCTGTCCTTTCATATCTAAGGCCACACCAATTTAATTTTATGAAAAACTTAAACTTTTCTCCAACTCAAAATTTGACTCACCAGGCACTTCAACCATCGCTCAACCGGGACGGGGGGCGATATCGACTTCAGACAACCTTTGACCCTTTGCTGACGTCACACGTGGGAAAAATCACGTGTCCACAGCATTTGGGTCAGATAGCTGAGGAAGACTGAGTGATTCGGTCGAAAATTTCTGGTGAGTCAAATTTTGAGTTGGAGAAAAGTTTAAGTTTTTCATAATGTAATTTACCAACTCAGATTAACTTTCATGCTGACCAATTTAATTTGTTTGTTCTCGGATTTGCCTCTTCATTTTTCTCTGGTTTTGAATCAACTCAAAATTCTCACATTTTGCCCCCAACAGTTAAAGAATGTCCTTTTCTTACTAGTTGTTACAGTTTTTCCATCTATCAATGCATTGGTTTGATTAAAAGTTCAAAATTCATTGTTTAAATATTAACCCAGCCTTTTGTGTTGACTTCATGGCCCCTTTTGTAGCATTTGGGGCTATAATAGGATGCCTATACCTGTTTTTATTTTTTTCATTTTTCTTCCCTGTCGCTTTATAATTTTTTTCTGAGAAAAATCTGAGAACAAAGTAAATTGGTATGGCCCGACAACCTGTAGTTGTACACAACAAAAGTTGCACTCCCACCAGTGATTTCAATCATCAGAGACCTCTATACAACTTCAAGGTTTGTACCTGCTGTAGGCTTGACTTTTATACCTTTGGTTGAATTAAGCAGTGAAGGCGTCTGCAGCTAGCATTTGATTCATTTGTTAAGCTTTTTATCTATTCAAACGGTTCAGACATTTATCCAAGGTTACATGTTTGGTCGTTTAAAAAAAAAAAATCAGTATAAACTAGTGTGATGGCAGCTGAAAAGTAACATCAAATGGCGTGGGAGTTAGGTTCACAGAACCTTTCATACAGGACTTGTGCTACATCTATAAAATTTTCTGTTTGATAGTGAAGTGAAAATTCTATTTGATAATGAAGTGAAACGAAAGTCCCTCATGAGAAAAAAAAACAAAAGTGAAATTTCCATATTTCCAACAGGTGGCACTCAAGTGCTTTTAAGTTAAAATTCTCTTTTATGAAATTAAGACAACCAATATTAGATATTGTACATTAAAATTCATTCATTCATTCAGAATACATTTCATTTTGTAGACAGTGATTTTAGTTTACCTTCTTGGAACTGCGAATGGGTCTGGGAACAATTCATCATGAATAAGGCCTAAGGGAAAAAAATGTTGTGTTTCTGGTTTGACCCACCCTAGCCTTTTTGGGGGGTTAGCCACCAACAAGAGACATAAAATTTTCAGTGTGACATACTAGTACAGTAGTGAGTGCATACTGGTACATTGGACTGAATCAGAACTGGACCTAATGTTTCAGTTCAAGTCCAAATACATCATGTACCAGCGTACTGAATCACTGATGCATTTCAGTGTGAGTTATATGAACTGTAACGTTACATGTGTAAGTGGTGTAACGTTACTTGTTGGATCACTGAGACTGGCTAAAATGTTTTTAAAACAAAGACATGAATTAAAAATAGTGAATCCCTACATACTGACCCCAATTTTTTCAGGATCATCATAGTAAACACAACATTAATTTTCCTAGGCCTACTAGTAAGGGCAGTAGACAGAATATATATTATTTCACTCAAAGGACTCGGCCTATAGGGGTTAGTACTTTCCTCAGGTTGATGTGAAAATACAATGTAGATCACAGGGATCTGTGGTGGAAGTATTTTCTCAGAGGAATGTTATCTGTACACCGGTGCAAAAGCTCAATAGGGAAGAGTGCCCGCTTTGCAACCGGGCAGTCGTGTCATACCAAAGAAATGGTACATACTGCTTTCACTGCTTAGCACTCAGCATCTATGAGAAAGAGGGTGGGAAGGTCAAACACACAACGCTACCAGCGAGCTGGCCTCCTGATTGCCCAATTGTGTGGCCCAAGGGCTACAGAAATGAAGATGGGCACAAGAGTGGAACGGGACTTTTTTTTTAACGTTATCTGTCGTGTCAGTCAATATTTACGGAGTTCCGTCCTACAACGCGCATGGATCATTGTTGTGTGGAACTTAAGTCCACAGCAAGTAAATTCTCCAAATCTAATGCGAGCGGGCGGAAAAAAAAAACAAGGCGGGCCGAAAAAAACAGGTTCCCACAAGTTTTTGACTCAATCATTGTACTGTAAGAAACCAGGAGGAGACAGTAGAAACAGATAAAAACCCCGGGAACAGTACAAATGGTTTTGATTCAGTGGGAACATCATATGTACACATCCAGCATCACATATTACAGCATCAAAGTAAGAAACAAAACATTAAATCAAAGCCTTTTCTTGTCTCCTCTCTTCATAGTTATCTGCCATCCACATTCTGGCATGGCAACAGACATCTTTGCCCATTTTCGGCATGTTGACCACTGTCGGAAGGCAACAAAATTTCTTCTTTTTTTTCCCCAAATCTGGCAAAAATTAATGCAAGCTCTGATGTCATCCATAAAAATTACTTGCTGTGGCCGAATGTGACAAACACTATTTCATGGATATTTCATGGATCTCTCACTGGGTGTGAAACAGGGGTCACCCTCAAACAAATGGATGCGGTATGGAGATTTTGGGGGGAAATTCTCGATAATAATACAGTATACAAATCAAGAAACTACATGTATTTTTGGGGGGCAACTGTTGCATTAGTTTATGAACAGTGACAGTTCAGGAAGTTTATTACATGTAATCCTTCAGCTTGACTGCTAAGTACTAGTACCTAATACCAGCCCAGAAGAGAACAAGAAATAGCCATGCCTTCAAGTACCAGAGTTATCAACCAAGGATTCTTTCCTAGAACTATTGCAGAGTGGAACTCACTGTCACCAGTAGGGGCATTGTCAATAGATAGCTTTAAACAAATTCTAGAGCTAGAAGTTCAAGGGTTTATAGGTGTAACAAGTCGATTGGTGTAATATAGCAAGCTGCCGCCGCGCCGCGTGCCTGCGAAGCTGATGTGTTACGCCGAAAGGCGGTATATAATATACCGGCTATACAGATACAGATACAGACTGCTGGGCTGTGCAAGGAGGATGTAAACCTCCTTGGGCTTCAACAAGTGAAAGTAAAAATCATCAAGAAGTGAAAGTTGAGCTGTGACACCTGAGCAATGGTGTTCATCACACCTGGACTTTGAGCATAATTCTACATATCGTCAGTTTCTCAGCTGACAACTGGATGAAATATCGGACGCCTTCCGTGCTCAATACCCGGTATCTGCACTGAGCATCTCCTGGCCCTGTCTTCGCTGTAGATTTCATAAACAAGTCGATCGATCTAAAACGACGAGACAATGTTGTGTCTGTGTCTACCCCAGTCCGTTAACGTTACATACATATACATACACAACACACACACTAGCTGACACATCGTTCATGTGTTTAATATTCACTAAAGTGTAGCTGCTTGCCGCCCCCACACAATTCGGTCTCATGCAGGCCCGCTACCATGATGTAGGTAGCCCTGGAAGAAAAATTATGTGGCCGCTATCGCCTTCAGTGCACGCACTGGCTTTTCTAACCGTATTGAACAACCGAAGAGAAAGCTAGCTGGCTCGCAGCCTGCTCGAAAGTGTGTGTGGTGTTCGGTGTGTGTGCTTGACAGGTGACTTACCTGTGTACAGATCGCGGTGGAAGGTGAGAGCCCTCTGTTGTCCGCCGCGGCTTCCCTCCTGAATGATACAGGCGTGTGCACATCGTCTGTGGGCGCCGGCCGGCCTGTTACACTGGGACCCGTCCACTCTGCAACGGGGGTGGGCTAGTTTTACCTTATGAATAAATTTTATAACCGGGAGACTCTGCAATGGTATTACACACACATACAGAACTTAAAAATAGCCGACTGCTGTAATAAACATATTATATTAAGATCATTCAGAAAATCATGGAAACTTTGTGGGTTTTTTTTATGGGTTCACCACACCACGAAGTGGTGTGGTGAAACCATATTGCTTTTTCTGATGTTTCTTCTCCTTCTCCTTCTCCTCCTCCTCCTCCTCCTGCCATATCTTTAAATGGATTCAGCTTCTTCATTTTAGGGCCTAAGGTCCTGAAATTTGGTATGGAGGTACAGTGGGCAAATACCCCTAGGCGTTTTTTAAATTATTGTGATACAGGCTTTTAGAATGGTTTTATTTGAGTTTTTTGGCTGTGTTATAGCAAATGTATTACTGTGTTAGTCTGCCTTGTTTACCACGTTTGGGCATGAGTCATCAGAATGGAATGCAGGGCATCAACCAATAGGCATGCAGCTTTCCTCTATACTTCTTGCTGATTGGCTGTTGGGATTTAACTTGATTAACACCTGCACAGAAGCATTTCCATACTGACAGTATGTCTGTATTCAAGTGTTTTGGTAGGTATTTCAAGCTTTCCTGCTCCAGCATTGGAATGCCGGGCATGGACGTTTTTTTTTTATTTTGAAAATCAACAGTTTGCATTATGCAATTAAAAATCCTAACCAATAAAGTAGGGAATAGCTATCCAACTGTTGTTTTAGTTGTATTTTACTTCATATTATAGTTATATCAATGTAAATCATTGTTTTCCCTTGTGTTTCCCATTCTTTCCCTGCCATGTCGTAAAATGTGGTGAACCCATCGCTGTATTTGCTCCAAAGCAAATATTGGCCTTTCTAGTTTTAATTTTGAAGTGTTTGAGGTGCGGTGTGTGTGTGTTGAAGCGGTCCAAAAATTTAAAAGGTCAAGCACTTGAATAGTTAACATGCATTCCAAAACTTCAAAATAGCTGGCTGCTTTCAACATAAATCCCTCATGCATAGGTCGCTCAGAAAATCATGGAAACTTTGTGTTTGAAATTTTAAAGTGTTGGGGTGCGGTGTGCATGTGTGTTGAACGGTCTAGAATTTAAAAGGTCAAGCACTAATAATAGTAATAAACATACACGTACCAAAACGTTAAAAAAGCTGGCTACTTTAATAGACATAAATCGGTTGGGAATAAGTCGCACATAGAAAATCATGGAAACTTTGTGTTTGAAATTTGAAGTGTTTGTGGTGCGGTGTGTGTGTGTTAAGCGGTCCAGAATTTAAAAGGTCAAGCACTTACTTTAACATAAATACAGAACTGGAAACTAGCTGGCTACTTTAATAGACATCAATCGTTTATGCATAAATCGCACAGAAATTTAATGGAAACTTTGTGTTTGAAATTTTTAAGTGTTGGGGTACGGTGTTTGTGTGTGTTGATCGGTCCAGAATTTAAAAGGTCAAGCTAGCACTAAACACACAAAACTTGTCATAAGTTACAGAACTTCAAAATATCTGGCTACTTTAATAAACATAGATCGTTTGGGCCTAGATCGCTCAGAAAATCATGGAAACTTTGTGTTTGAAAATATTAAGTGTTGGGGTAGGGTGCAGATTGTGCAACGGTCCATCCAGAATTTAAAAGGTCAAGTACCCAAACACCTTGCAAACAAGTGACAACAATCTATTCGCCATAAACGCTCGGTGTCCGCCCACCCGAGCGATTCGGAAAGGCCAGAACAAAGACCCAATATTTGCACAGGTTTAGACCCCAGTTTAGGTACCTTGGAACTAAAACAAACCGTGGGTGAGCGGGACACACCCTTGCGTTGACAGGCTACTCTCCAAGCAGAGGTTTGGATTTCGGATGATTTTTGACGTGTTTTTAGGCTTTTTTTTATCGGGCTTTATTTTTTGCAACAGTATCTTTTTTTACGCACAAAAAAGATACCAGGGCAAAAAAAGAAAGCCCTCTAAAAAGCCTAAAAACACGTCAAAAATAAGCCAAAACCCAAACCTCTGCTTGGAGATTATCAACAGGCCGGTGACAATGTTTATGTGCGTAGGGATCAAGGCATGGTGATAGCCCGCAGCTATACACTACAGAACTCGGACAAGTGGTAGCGCACTCGAAACGTTAATAAAACGATGATGGCGAGATCAAACAAAACCAGAGTGCGTACTTAGTAGTAGGGTTATTTTTCACTGTCTGCCATGATCTTGTGTGTTTTCTATCTACACATTCCTCTGTGACCACGCAACTAACGTTACTTACATGTTTATTTGCCTCACACTCTGAACATTACAGCAACAGGTGCTCCACTCTTTAATAGCGGGCGACAGCTGGTCCAATACAAAGATTATGTTTCAATAGTTAGACTGCAGGTCGACTTCTAGTAAAGGACATAATCCTATTTCAGTGCATTACGGATCGGAAGGGGACTTAGTCAAGTTAGTGGTTGACGCTCAGTTGAGCTTTTTTTTCTTTTAAGTTCTGGCTCAAGGCCATATCACGCGAAAGCCAGGTATTTAGACATGTTACAAGAAAGGTTTACAACGTGTTTTGGGGTAAATGTTTAAAGGCGATGTATATACGCGTTACACATACCTTAACGCCTTATACATGTAACGGTAGGTACCTTAGCAAGGATTACATTCATGTCCGTAGCCAGGGGGGGAGGGGGGGGGGTCGGTGGGTTCGGAAGAACCCCCCCACTAGGCTGAAAGGTTAAATTTTGTGGTCCACTTTTTATGTAAAGGTCCAAGATTTTTCTTGACAAGATGGACTGGAATCGTAGAAAGACTGCTCCTTTTGTCATTGAATAAAAATTTATCTCTGATTTTTTCTTGGAAATCCTCACAAAAATGCACGAAATGCCATTTTAGAAGGTTCATTTTTCAAAATTTTCCGGGGAACATGCCCCGGACCCCCCTAGGGACCTCGCGCCTACGGCGCTCGAGGTCCCCTCAAACTACTCTCCAAGCAGAGGTACCGAGCGACCCTACCTCTGCTTGGAGAGTACCCTCAAACAGTGGGAAGAACCCCCCCCCCCCATTCAAAATCCTGGCTACGGGCATGACATTACAGTTTTTTTCACATTTACGGACATTCCTTGTCGACTTTGCGACATACTCTCCAAGCAGAGGTTGAAGTTTCGGCTTACTAGTATTTTTTATGTGACATGTTATCTGTCTATTTGGACAATTTCTACTCTTTCCAGGCGCCTCTGTAGCCTGGTAGAGGCTAGATGTAGCGTACAGCGGACGATGCTTTGAACAGTGAAACTCTCACAAGAATGGCAAGAACGTCAAACTTAACTTTGACATAAACAGAAATGTATGTGATTATACGTATTCCTATAGACAACTATATACATTGTCAAGCACATTGGACAAATATACCGCAAATGTATATGAGTCTATGGACAAGGATGTAAAGGGAACAAGAACAAAGTTATTAGTGAAGGTTACTACTTTTTTTATCAAAACAAACTCTGATCAGTGGAAAGTTTTCTCTGTGAAGTTCTGTAAACTATAAAGTTCAAATTGAACAGACAGGATCACCATACCAAAAGTAAACTTTACTTGTCGCCGAACCCTGTGTGCGAGGTAATAGATAAAACTTCGCGCAAAAATCTGAAGACTTTTGAACCCCCGCGCATTCAAACCCCGGTATTTGAGCCATCTATCACCGGTGTGCTCTAGGCGAAGAAATACGAGGCGAGCAACACAGTATGGACGACCGACTGAAGTGCTGTGATTATTCAAGTGCAGGAGAAAGAGCGATTAGTTCTGTATAGGAAGTAATAAATCAAATGGTGTAATTAGGGAACACAGGTTCAGTACGTATACTCAATACCGGTATTGTCCTTGTACCACAAAACATTAATATCCAAGCTTAGCAAATCTTTCGGTAGCTACAAGACAGTATGAAATTGGCAAGACATGTACAGTAAAACGTTTGCTGAACAAAAGGCTAAGAACCGTGCTGCCTGGCGGGAAAAAAAATGAAGAGGAGCAAGTGGCCAGTTCTTAGCCTCCTTCGCAGTCTTGTTGGGCGTCGGCGTTATTTTTTCTCTGAGCGACGCGAGTAATATGCGGCCGCGAGGGACGATTTGCTGCCGAGGGAGTTTTTGCCACGGAGTTTTTTGCCACGGAGAGAAGAGCGCGAAACCTTCTCTCCGTGGCAAAAATTCCCTCGGTAGCAAATCGTCCCTCGCGGCCGCATATTACTCGCGTCGCTCAGAGAAAAAATAACGCCGACGCCCAACAAGACTGCGAAGGAGGCTAGCCAGTTCTGGCCTAGGCATTTAGGCAGTAGGCAGTACAGTATCATTGGCAGGGCAGTATCCCTACCT